TGGGGCTAGTTGGCCGATTCCGATGGAACCGGCCCGTTGTAGTTTTTCCATGGATTTAGGCAGGACACTTGGGTGACACAGACTGTTATTCTCAGAACTGCATCGCTCTAGTGTCACTGAAGCTTGGGGACGTATTAAAGCCTCAGTTCGCTGCCTCCTTATGGTTTTGGGGATACCTTCGCAGCATCGAATGTGTCCTCCCATTTTCCCTTTGTCTCATACCACCGTTGAAGTGCTATGGCCAACTGCTCCGTGGAGTTGAATGAGATGACGGCCATCTCCATTGCTGTACGTCATGCATGTTTTTTTCACAAACAGTGCCCGTTTCCAGCTCCGGAACACCGTGTACCACCATAGAGGTAGGAGCCGTCAGTTCCGGTGACTCCATCGCCATTTGTCTGATAGCCCATGGTCTGTCATGTCTAACCCTTATGTTCGAACTTATGTCCATGGCTAGTACCTGAGCCATTAATAGTACTCTTTCGGCCTCTTCGGCATAGTCCAGTGTAACCCTTAATGGGGATGGCTTACCCTGAGGCGTGCGGACACCCCTGTACAGACTGCACAATTTCATTGAACTAGTGTTCAGACCCAATTTATTGCACAGGTTGCACCACTGTTCCTGATCAAACAGGGCCCGTCGTTCAAGCAAGCTATCCTTGCCCACAGGTTTGTTAAAGAAGATAAGAGATTTGGACCGACTAACCTCAGACTTAGGTTTGGCCTTTGGCTTCTTGTATTCCTTTGCAGCGTCAGCAACTTCAGGTTTCATGAGGTTTTGGCCAGCCTTTGCTGTGTTGCCAAGCTTGCTACTGGATGCAAGTGGTGCTTTTTATTTCTATCTTTCCCTGATGTTGTAAAAATGCAACATTGGGACTCTTCACTTCATGAAGATTGGCTTTTCCAGTCATTTGGGCTTGAGTGTCCTTCTTACTGTCTGTACCAAGTTTTGGTAGTGCGGTGTTAGGAGGTGGGAAGCTGCATGAGACTGCGTTGAGACACAAGAGTGGCATGTTGTTTCTGATATCCACAGACACGCTGTGTGGGATAATGTAAAGCGGCTAAGTGGACGGATGTAACAAAACCACGGGTATGGGTTATTTCTCATAAAGTCGTAGTATGATCTCGGCACCACTTTGTCACAAAGACAGTGCATCCATCGTTTGCAAAAATTGCATTCAAACGCTGAGTCAGTTTTAGAAACTATGATTCTGCACGCCTGACATTCATCTCCTTTCCTCGATGACGCCTTCGAGGTCCTATGACGTCTTGAACGTTTCCTTTTAAGTTTGCTATGTTTCACACAATGGCCTTCAGTTGATGCAGGTGTAGGTTCCTGTCCACTTGGTATTGCCTGTGCCATTTCAGTACTAGACTGTGGCAATGCAGGCGTAGTATCAGGATAGATGAAACCTACACGATTCATTAGTATCGGTATGCGGGAAGAGGTTGAAGTCCCTGGTTATTTTCCTTCTCTGGCTGAACCCTATGTGACTACAGAGTATGGCGATTTAGTGGCTTTTCCAAGGCTGGCTACTATCGACAGCCATATTACCGATCACTGTGACCTAGTTATATAGGAATAAGAGTGCAACACAATCCACAGGAACAAGAATAAGACTGAAAAAGTACAAGACAGGGAAAATAAAAGGTTTTAGACTTTACCTAGTACTCTCTGGATGATCACGTGGAAGATCCTCCTAGAAAAAAAGCACCTGAGATTTGGCAGTAGTTCGAGATAGCTGGACATACCACATACAGATTAAGTATGAAAGCAATAGATGGTGACGGGGGAGATCAGGTCCCCCAAACGGATAGTTCACGAAATTGGGATTTTCCGGTTAGGGAAGAAAAAGCACGTCGTCGCACGCGCTTCTGTCTTCCGCTGCACTTTTCACCTGCATCCATGTTAGTCCATACTCTTTCAACTCCTCTTCACACGATCTCCTCCATGTTACCCTTGCACTGACATCCCACTCGCCGCCTGCTTCCCTTTCGCGTTACACTCAAGCAATGGCCTGACGCGCGAGCAATGTCACCAACCGGCCTCCTCAGCGAGTGTCCAATCCACCTCCACTTTCTCCTGCATATTTATTGGTTGGCGATTGGTTCTTGTTTTGTTTGTTCCCATAGATCCTTGTTGGTGATTCTTTCCGGCCCGGCCATCTGATCTTCAGTATAGAGCCAGCGAAGAGAGTTGTTGATAAAGGTCTACAACAGGTTGTTAGAAGTATTCTTTGTGACCCGCCCACCAAGTTTCTGATCCGTATAGAAGAACTGACTGACTTGACGTTTGTATTGAAAATCCGACTGGATTTTGTTGTTGATGCTGAGTTGAGTGATGAAGATTTCCAGACTGCTTTCAGGTTCACGAATGTGTTTCTCACCTCCCGATTCTCGCCCGATTTGACATCCTCATCCGTTTCTCCTGCCTGTAGTTGAGACAATGCTCCCTCCCTAGATAAGTGAATGAAGTGACATCTTCCAAATCCCTCCCGTTGATGGTGATTGGCGCTGGATGTTTCTGCTGTTGTTGGTGTTGGTTGGGTGGTTGGTTGGTTATTTTCATAACCTCCGTCTTGTTTACCTATGTTCACCTGGAGTCCTGTCTTCGCCGGCTGCGTCTTCTACCAGTTTGTCGGTTTTCGCTTGTAACTCTTCGATTTTGCGTGGCATCAAGCATAAATCATCCACGCGCGTAATCCAGGTCCCCTAGGCTCTTCACTTCGGTCCAGGATATCCCTGTCTTCTCGTTTCCAACTGTCTGATGCATAATCCAGTCCATCACATTTAGGAATATCATTGATGGTAACAAGCACCCTTGTCTGACTCCTGTGTTTATTCCAAACGCCTCGCTGAATTTTCCATTATGGATCACTTGACATTTGCCGTTATCGTACAGCTGTTGAATAAGGTTGGTGAATATTTGAATATATATACGCCGTAGTACACGAGTAGTTTCCAAATTACTTCGTGGTCAACGCTGACTGTTGAAGGCCTTCTCCAAGTCTATAAAGTTGAGGTACAGGTTTGATTGCCATTCCATGCTTTGTTCTGTGATGATGATGCGTAGAGTTGCAATTTGGTCAGTACATGATTTGCCAGACTCCTGAATCCAGCTTGTTCCGGTGGGGCGGAGTTCTGTATCTAGTGCGTCCTTTATTCTCTCCAGGATGATGCGACTCAGGATTTCACTCGGCGTCGACAGGAGCATGATTCCTCTCCAGTTCTTGCAGAGTCCTAAGTCGCTCTTCTCTGGTAGTTTCACGAGGTAACCTTTCCTCCAGTCGGTAGGCACCTTCTCCTCCTTCCAGAGTTTTTCCAATAATGGAGTCAGCATATCTGCTGTCGCCTCTGGGTCCACTTTCAGTGAGTACTTCAGGGGGTATTCCATCTGGTCCAGCTGCTTTTCCAGCTTTCAGAAGCTTGATTGCATTCAAGACTTCAGCTTTCATTGGAGGATTGGTGTCAACTTGCAGTTGTGTACGTGCTGTTGTTGGTATTTCTGGACGGGCTGCAGGTGATGGTCGGTTCAAGAGTCCTTTAAAGCGATCTGCCCATTGTTTAATCTGCTTTTCTTCCTCGGTGATTGGGTCCCCTCGGCTGTCTTTTATAGGTTTCGCTTGTGTTGATCTCTTCCCGGATAGACACTTGGTTATCTGATATAATGTCTTCAGGTCCCTTTTGCCTGCTGCCTTCTCAACTTCGGTGGCCAGATTGTCGTAGAATTGTCTTTTGTCCTTCCTAGCACTCTTATTCACTTCTTTTTCCAGTGCTGTGTAAGTTGAACTCAGCGTCACCTTCTCTTGTCCATCTTTGCATTGAATCATTTTCTCTTTCACCATTCTCCTCTCCTCTGTTAGCGTCCAGGAGTCCATTGAGAGCCATTCCTTGTCTTATCTCTTCTTTCTTCCTAAAACTGTTGAATACGTTTGCTTGAAAATCACCTTCAGAGAGTTCCAATGGTCCTCCACGCATGATTCCTCAGTGATGTCACGGAGTGTTTCCTGCTTTGCTCTAACAGTTGCAGTGAATGTGTCCTTTGTGGTTGTGTCCTTCAGTTTTTGGGTGTTGAACTTGCATTGTGGCCTATCCCCAGCTATCCTCGAGGCTTTTAGCTTCACCTTGAAAGTCCCTTGTACTAGGTAATGGTCTGAACCCACATTTGCTCCTCTCCACGACCTTGTGTCCAGTAGGCTTCGTCTCCACTTCCTTGAGATTGACATGAAGTCTATGTGGTTTTTGTTGTGTCCGTCTGGTGAAATCCACGTCGCCTTGTGTATATCCTTGTGTTTGAACACACTGCCACCAATCACCAAATCATTGAAGGCGCAGAAGTCTGAGAAGAGTTCACCCTTGTCGCTCATTTCATCGAGGGCCTCGCGACGCATGGTGATTTCTCTTCCTGTATTGTCTCGTCCCAGGTTCGCATTCATATCACCCATCAGGATTCCGATATTGCCATTTGGTACGTTGTCCATTACTGTTTGTTGTTTTCTGTAGAAATCCTCCTTATTCTGAGACCTTTGTAGGCGCATAATGTCATACCTACTCTGAAACAAGATGAAAAGCAATCTCCAAGGCATGTTCAGCATTAATTATGATTTAAAAATTAGCAATGTTTACATAGATATTTTTCAAAAACCCTTCTATTCATTTACTGGACTCTAGTTCTCGACTCTCTTTACTGGGCTCAAATGGCTAACAACACTCTCTACAGATGGCGTCCGAGTAAATAAGTTATTTCAACTGCGTTTCAAAATTCGCACGGGTAATCCCTCATAACCTTATGCTCGTAACGTATAATGGACTGTTCGACCTTCAATTGGATCATTACTGTGCCCCTAAACCGGTGATTTGTGGAAACTTGCTGAAATTGTGCTGCGTAATTGAGGTCTCCCTTAACCTTTGGCTACTAAAAGTTTCCATCATATCTAATGTACCAGATTTCTCGGATTCGGTTTGTTTTAATTTTTCAAATATTTGTCCAAATCGTTTCATTTACTCTCGTGATTATTTAAAATGTTTTCCACGAGTTTTTAGTAAACCTCATCAAAAGCATTATGGTGGCCGTCTGCGAGCCTTGAAACGTACCCTCAATGCAACAGATGACTGTTCCTGTGATTACGGGCACGAATTGCATTTCATTATCGAACAAGATTAACTACTTGCATTCTCTATTATACTCAAATGTATATTGTAATACTGGTGTAATCACTCTTCAAGAGACTTGGCTCCATGATTCATACGACGACAATTTAGTCTCCTTAAGTGGGTTCACAATCTACAGACAAGACCGATGCAGCTCGAAGAAGAAGAGAGGTGGTGGTGTTGCCACTTTTAATAATTCTCAGTGGTCTACTGCCAACAACGTCTGCTTCAAATTCTCAAATGACAATATTGACTGTATAACTGTAAAATGTCGACCTAAACACTTACCCAAATACAGCTCCATTTTTGTCACAAATATCTATATCACACCTTGTTGCAGTCCCTCAGAACTATCTATCTTCGCTGATGAATTCACTATTTTTGCTGCTGCTTCGTTTGGTAACTCCTTATCTATAGTGACCGGCGACTTCAACTCCAGCGACTGCATTTTTATTACATTGCTGGGCCATGCAAATGTTGTTAATTTCCCAACTCGACAAAATACTTCACTTGATTTAGTATTTGTAAATGATTCTGGAATATACGAAGCTCGTAAAAGAGCCCCGCTCTTCAATTCTGATCATTGTATTGTACGAGTCTTACCCAAAATTTACGGAAAGCTACACAGTAAAGCCCTCTCAAACTTGTCTAAGAAAGCTGTTCACATATGCTACTCAAATGAGAACGTATATCATCTTAGAAACATGCTCAGTGACACAAGATGGGATTTGTTTAATGTTGATTCACTTAATGACAATATCTCTAATATTACATCCTATCTGAAATTCTGTTTAGAAATCTGTTGTCCAAAAGAAACACTATTCGTCAAATTTGACCGTTTCTCCTCGCCTCAACTTAAAAAGCTTCGTAGAGAGAAGGAAAAACTATATAAAATCAAAGATAAAATTGGTGTAAAAAGAACTAACTTCTTAATTAAGTCTGAAATGCAGAGGTTGAATGTAATATATAACCAGAAATTCATGTCCTGCAAAAATCCTTCTAATATGTGGAAACTATTTAAGGAAATCACTGGTGGTAAGCAGATAAACAATATTCCATATTCTTTTGATGTATGTACTCTTAACAAATCTTTTATTTACTCTCCCTCAAATGCCATGCTTCCCAGCATCACTTGTGTTAATAATAGCCCCTTTCCAGGTTTTAACACAAATGATGTTCAAAAGTGCCTCAAGTCTCTAAACCCTTCTCAGAGCTTAGGTCCCGATTATGTACCTAGTATTATTTCTAAAAAATGTTCTGATATTCTGTGTCACCCTCTTACTGATCTATTTAACAAATCTTTTTCCAAATCTTTTTCCGATAATATTGTGCCTGCCGTTTGGAAGGACATTAAAGTTGTACCCATACCTAAATCTTCTACTGGAGCATGTGTCAAATTTAGACCCATTGCTATTACGTCTCCTTTTTTGAAAACTATGGAGAAATTACTTTTACTTAGTCTTGAACCTTCGCTTAAATCCTTTAATGACCCTAAACAATTTGCCTATAAGCACAGTAGAAGCACTTTAGATGCAGCTGCCGTCTTATATCATAACATTGCTTCCAGTCTAGACAAGGGGGCTAAATTTGTTCGTTGCGCCTTCCTAGACTATACATCTGCTTTCGACTCGGTCCCTAGGGACATCTTATTAAATAAACTTGCTGCTAGTCAAACAGAATGTTGGGCTGTTAACTGGTTGCATTCCTATTTCTCAGATAGAAAGCAGTACACCGTATATAAAGGGAAGTCCTCCACTTCATTGCCTACTGAAGCTGGTGTCCCTCAAGGTGCTGTTCTTTCTCCTTTTCTTTTTTCTTTCTTCTTGCACGACTTGCCTCACTCTGATGAAATAAACTTTGTGAAGTATGCTGATGATTTAACGGTTTCAATGGCTGTTAACTCCCAGCTAGATTGTACTAAAATAAATAGCTTTCTATCGGAAGTCAGCAAATGGTCTGAGTCTAACGGTCTTAAACTGAATCCTTCTAAGTGTCAAACTGTTGATTTCAGCTTAAGATGTAAACGACAGTTAAAAGAAGTCATCGATTCTCATGACACTTGTAAAATTGACGACAATGATATAGGAATCAAATCAGAAATTAAGTATCTTGGACTCATTCTCTCTTCTGATCTCTCCTGGTCTTCCCATGTCTTAGCAATCTCCAGTAAAATATTCCGCTTGACATTTTACATTAAGAAGTTAAGACACTCGGGTATAACTCAACCCCTCATCCTACAGTTCGTAAACTCTTGCATCCTACCTATTCTTCTTTATTGCTCACCCTTATTCTTTCCTGGTTTGCTTAAAAAAGACTATGTCACAATTCGTAGAATACTGAAGACTGTCAGTAGAGTGAGTGGTGTCCCAGTGGACCACATAGTTAACGTCGTTGTCGATAGGCATTTGACTTCGTGCAATAAATTTGCTAAAGGGATTTTGTCTGACTTGGAGCATCCGCTTTACCCTCAGCTTTCACCTTGCATCTCCTCAGGTAGAACAAGGAGTAACTTCAGAAAACTGTATGCTCGCACGTCTAAGTATAAGAATTCTATGATACCATACTTGGCACGTATTTTATGTGATGAAAATAGTGTCAGGCAAGAATTAACTAACCTTCTTTCATCTAGTAAATAAACAATTTCCTCCATCCATCCTTATATACCTTCAAGTTTTACTTTTATTACTTCTATTATATTTATGGTCCTGTTACTTCTCTGTTTTACTCTCATAATTGCAAACACCAACTTATCTCCATGACGGCTGTAATCTATGTTTTTTCCTCCACCATATCATGTAGAAAGAACATTATATTCAATATTTTTAAACATGTTAGGATTTCTATACCACATTGACAATACTGTGTGGCACAAGCCAACGGCAATTTTCACTTGTATTCTTATTATTATTACCCTAGCTGTTATCATTATTATTGCTATTTCCATTTTATATGCTGCATGTTTTTGACACTACCTCTATTGTAAATGTGGAAAATTTTCTGTGTGATTAATTTTATTTATAATTTGAGGAAATTAGATGCAATATTGTGATTAATGCTGAAAATTCCATTCTGTATCACAAGTACTGTTTTTGGAATAAAGTAAATCATTATTATTATTATTATATAGACGTTGATTTCAAATTACACCCCTGCAATTCTATCACACCTGATTGTTCACCAGAGGTGGTTTCGTTCTGGCCTCCTATAGTTTAGAGTTACCCTCCCAGCTAGAATTTTCTTCGGACGCATTGCAGAACGTGGAGCAGTGATCTGTACTTTGCCCTAAACATCCTGCAGTGCACCCGGAGTCAATGCTAGGGGGGCTCTATTATGTTTAAATGTTTATCGTAGTACAGGTGCAATAACGCTTCAAGAAACCTCTCTATACGATTCATATGATGAAAATTTCACTATGTACAGATAAGACCGACGAAGTTCAAAGAAAAAGCGACTTTGTGGTTCCGCAACATTTATCAATTCTCAGTGGTCGGTTTAGATTCTTTAGTGATATTATTGACTATATGACTGTTAAATGTCGACCTAAACACCTGTCTAGGTTCAACTTAACTTTTATCACAAACATTCATGTCACTCCTTGTAATAGACCCGCATATATTTTAATCGTCCTTGGTTTGAGCACATTTTCGTGGTGACTCCCGTAGGAAAGAGGGGAGAAAGGTAAGAGGGGTCTGCTCTTATATCACCCTCAAGTATAAGGCATGCTAAAATTAAGTCGCCTGTCTTCCTTTGGTATGATAACAGGAAGAGATTTAAATTCTCTGTCGGTGCGTCGGTGGTACAGTGGTTAGGACTCTCGGAGACAATGCACATGATCCGAGGTCCGATCCCCTGCCGACGCACACCTGATATCTATGGTCGACTAACGTTATCCACGCTGAAAATTCCATACTTGTACCAAAAATACAGTGTGGAATCAAGCTGTAATCCGAAAAAAAATAAAAAAAGTGTGAGATACCACTAACTAGCTTGTTCCTACTCTCTGTACTCCTTCCAAAATATGTGCCTCCTTCTTGAGGCAGAGACTACCAGCTTGTATGCAGTATTCTAGATGAGGCCTGACATATGTTGCGTAGATTTCTTTGAACATAGACTCATCTAATCATTTGAAAGCTCTTCGGAGTGCCCATAGCATTCGAAAAGCCTTAGCTGTGGGTGTATCGCAATTCACAGATGTTTTCAAGTCGTTGATGACAATGATTCCTTCTGTCCGTAAATATCAGGTAGTTGTGTGTCCCGTAGAAGTACGACGTATAAGACTTCTGACCTAACTGCATTGCTACGGGTCCGACTACTCAGCTAATTTATCAAGATCACTTTGTAGGGCCGACCTATTATCGTTATTATTTACACTTTTCCAGATCTTCATATCGTCCGCAAATAATAATGAAGATGAAGTAAGAATCTCCGATAGTTCAGTATCGTATAATAGGAATAGCACAGAGTTCCCTGAGGCACTCCACTGGACACTGCTTTCCACCCTGATAGCACACCGTTATCTTTAACCTTCTATCCATTTGGCAATCCCTAAACCACTCTCCTAAGCATTGCTCTAGTCTGAAACCTTTGAGTTTACTAAGGGAACCTAAATGGGAAACTTTGTCGAATGCCTTGCTAAGATCAATAAAAACCACGTCCAACAAAGGATTTTTATCTCTGGTCTCAAACCAGTATTTCTTAGCCAATAGTAGGTTTTTCAGGCAGGATCGTCCTGGTCGGAATCCATGCTGTTCCACCGCCAGTAAGCCATGGTTTTCCACATGAACTAACAGCCAATCCCTTGTAATTGTTTCCAATGCCCTTGCTACAATGCATGGAAGGCTTACTGGCCGGTAGTTAGATACCAATTGCCTGCTCCTCTCTTTGAAGATATAGCTTGTAATGGCATCCTTGCAGTCCCTGGGCCAGAGACATTCGGAAAATCTCCGTAAGTGGAATATATATTACATCCGCCAAGGAAATTAACAGTTTAGGATGAAGCCCATCGGATCCAGGTGATTTACCTGGTTTAAGTTTATACATTAGTTTGAGGACTGTTGTGTGCTCTACTACAATTGAGGGGATCTGAGTGGCGTTGGCAGTGACTTCGTCCCTGAATAGTACGATCAGACCAGAAGATGTCACAGAAGTATTTAGAGAGGTTTCCAGCCTTCCTTTGTCTGATTCAGCCGCTTCTCCACTAGTGCTTATGACTGGTGGTATACCACTGCTAGTTTTAGTCCTACGTTTAATATACGAGAATAGCCTTTTTGGGTAATGAAAACAATCCAGTATTAGCTGCCTTTCGTACTCCATACAACTCTTGTCAATCATATACTTACACAGATTTCGAACTTCGCGGTAGTCCTTCTAGAAATTTTCCTCCACTGAAATAATGAATTGGTCCTATAAGTTCTTCCCCTGCCTTAAAGTCTCCTTATTTCACTAGTATTCCAAGGTAGCTTGTGCGATAACTTTCGATGAGTGCTTTTTATTTTATTCTTTTATTAGTCCCTTGTGTTCCGAGTGGAATATAGGGCTTATACAACACATCTCCACTTTCTTCTGTTTTCTACCGTCCGCTTCAGCTGGGTCCACGGTTGACCGAACTCTCTCATCTCTTCCTCGCACGATCTCCTTCATGTCAATCTAGGACGACCCACTCGTCGCTTCCGATTTGGGTTCCACTCGAAGACCTGGTGTAGGAATGCCATTCGGTGCCCTCCTCAATGTATGAGTGACCCATCTCCATTTTCTCCTGCATATTTGTTTAGCGATTGGCTCTTGGTTGGTTTGTTTTCATAGTTTCTTGTTGCTTATTCTTTCTGACCACTTGATCTTCAGTATGGAGCGAAGCCAGCTGTTGATAAAGGTCTGCAACTTGCTGAAAATCCTTTTTGTGACACTCAGTGCGAGTTTCTGACCCGTATAAAAGAACCAACTTCACATTGCTGCTGAAAATCCTAATCTTGTTCCTTATGATAAGGCGGAGTTCAGAAGATTTTCAAACTGGTTTCAGGTAGATGAAGGTTTATCTTGCCTCTCCGACTCTGACTTTGACATCTTCTTCCGTTTCGTCTGTAGATGAAACGATGATTCCTGACCGGATAAGTGGAGGAGGTAACCTCTGTTAAATCTCTCCCTTTGATGGTGATTGTTTTTTCTGCTGCTGTTGATTGGCTATCTTCATTACCTACGTCTTCCCTATGTTTACTTGGAGTACTGTCTTCACTGCCTGCCTCTTCACCCAGTTTATTGGTTTTCGCTTGCAAGTCTTCGAGTTTGTGTTATATTAAACATAAATCATCTGTGAAATCCAGATCTTCTAGTCTTCTTATCGGGCCAAGGTATTCCTGTCTTCTCACTCCCACACACATTCTGACGCATAATCCAGTCCACCATAATTAAGAATATCATCGATGATAATAGGCAGCCAGCTTGTCTTAATCCTGTACTCACTTCCAACGTCTCACTGAGTTTTCCATTGTGCATCACCCGACATGCGACAGCATCATATAGCCCTTGAATGGGATTGACAAAGACTTGGGAACTGCACTTTCGAGTGTTGAAGTAGTTTCCAATTTACTTCTCGGTCAACGCTGTCTGTTGAAGGCCTTTTTGAAGTCAATGAAATTGAGGTAGAGAAAGGTTTAACTGCCATTCTATGCTTTGTTCGATGATGATGCGTAGAGTTCCAATTTGATCAGCACATGATTTGCCTTTCCTGAATCCAGCTTGTTAAGGTCGGTGTTCTACATCCAATGTATCTTTTGTTCTCTTCAGGATGATGTGACTTTGCATTTTACTTGGCGTGGACAAGAGCATTATTCCACGCCAGTTCTTCCAGAGCGGCATCTAAGTCGCCCTTCTTTGGCAGTTTGACGAAGTGGCTCTCCTCCCAATCAGTAGGCACCCCCCCTAATTAATATGTGGAGCGTTAAAGCCACCAGACACCTATTTCTACTACTCCACGCCCTCAAGTGATTGAGAACGAAGTCATTAGCTTGGCTTGCAGGAATTCTGCGAATAACCCCGATCGTTAAAGTGCCCTTGTGCCAGTTAATGACACAACTTCCAGCTTCACTGGTGCCGCTGTCATATGCTTCTGACAGCGCTGACCTAGTCCCTATGTCGTCTCTGATGTATAGGGCGACCCCGCCACCTTTCCAACTAATTACTGTTGTACCCAGGTATGAGTGGAGTTAAGTCTACCCCCACTAACAACCATGTCTCAGTGATAACAATCGTATCAGGTTGTAGTCTTTCAGATAATACGCCTAATTTGGTTAGCTTATTTCTAACACTACACGCGTTCGTATAGCACATTGAAACGCCTACATATTCGTCCGGCTTATGGAGAGATGTCTCGTCAACATCGGTTTCCGAGACCTCTCCTTCCGAAAACCCAATAGCTTGAGGTCTTTTTCTCCTTTCTCTAGTCTGGCCTTTAGTTCAGCTACGACTTCTCTTCCCTTGATTCTATCTTCTAATGGCCAATCAGGCCTTATTTTTAGAATTTTTTCCTTGATTTTGAACGCGTTGTTGAGTATGGTGCTCTTCTCTGTTTCGTTCCCTAAAACTATCTTAAGTAATCGTCAGGAGGTTTCCGTAGCATCAGCGTTTCGTTCTCCGATCCTGATGGCCTTTGTCATGTGGATTCCACTTTTTTTTCGGGAAGCATTTCCCGAATAATGGAGCTAACTGCCTTCAGATCATCTGCATGTCGGGCAGCTGTATTTGTATTTGCATATTCCTCTAAGTTCCAGATGATGACACTGTAACTAGAGTCAGTAGGTTTCGGAGTTTGGTTGGTATTAACAGCCGTCGACACCTTGTTAGTAAGCCCGGTTACTGTTCCCCCCCTACGTTTACATAGCTTCTTACTTGTCGGCACCAACCAATTGGAGTCGGTTACTTCCGCTTTGGCGTGGCCGTTCCACCAGCTGGTATTACCACCATGCTGGCAGTATTTGCCCTTTTACATTTTCCTAGTTTTTTCGCGCGTTGCCGTAACAGATTTTCGGGCACCCTGTACCTTTAAGTAAATGAAACATATTTTGTTAAATTATGAAGTGTGTTAAAAAGATAGGGGTTGTGAAAGTCTAATGATATTCTTAAGATTTTACAACCAGTCATTTTTTGGTAAAATAGCTGTAAAGAGACAACTTTTTAACTAAAGGTTACTATGTTTCATAGCGCTTATTTAATAATAATCATTTTGTAACACATTCTTTTCTGTTTAATATTCCAGGTTACAATGGTTACTTCTGCAATCATCCAGCTTCTTCAGATGCTTTTATGAAGTATAAATAGAGGATATGAATGTGCAGGATGGAGTATTTGTGATATTATGAATAAATTTATTGAAATAAATATTTGAGTTTACAGGTTATTTTTCCACTAATAATACCTCGTGTTTGTTGGAAGAATGGTGATAAGATGATTAATGATGTTAATCTAGAAGATGTGATATGCGTAAAAATGTGAAATTAACACCTGATTAGAGTTGGGTATAGTGAGATGCTGCTACGGTTTTCCAGTAATAATTCTCCTTAGTGGACTGCAAAAAGGCGATATTCACAATGAAAGCATATGTACCTAGGTACAGTATGGAACGACAACAAATTAATCAATCAAGCTGAATGATGTTGTTCTCTCATATACATATATGTTTAAGCGTTGATTTGATTATGTAGGGATACGTAATGATGGCACAAGAGTGATGTATTTATCTTCTCAATACCTAATTATTCCCTTTGAAACACTGATATTATGCGCAGCATAAAAATAATAGATTAGATTTTTATCTCGTATGATACAGGTTTCCTTGTGTACTTACTGTGCACGTAGATGGCCTAAATTTGTTAAGTTAAATTTCGTCATTCCATTAAAAACAGAAGTTCTACGGCTATTTCCTCTGTTGACACTATTATTATTATTATTATACTCAACCAGATTAAATATAACTGAAATATTTCACTGAAGCTCTGATTACTCCTTGAAGAAAACACAGTTATCTAGGACTTTGACAACAATTTACACAAGAATTACTGCGTTGCTTATCATTCTCGTTGACTATGCAATGTCCTCCAAAAGATAAATAAAAGGGGTACACGCAGTCGACGTAAATGCATACATTTATAACGAAACAATAACCAACCAAATAATTTAGTATGAGAATATAAGTAGTTACATTACTTGAAAAAAATTTCTTCCTTCACGTTCCCACTGGGACATAGGACTTCAAGCTAGTGGCTTCAAGTTTCTGTAGCAGTGCTTAATTTTACAGGATAGGGTTGCTAGCCTCAGGCCCAACCTTACTTCTTTACCAGCATTATTTCTGGCTTAGCGAGGTAAAGGAGTGCGTCGGCCGGGGATCGAACCCCGGACCATATGCATGGTCGGCGAACGTCCTAACCGCTGTGCCATCGAGGCACATTAAAAATAGTTCACAAACAATAGAGAAAAGTTCAGTTGTAGATTGTTTATGGCTGCATCATGGTCACCACACATACAGTCTACTCCTCATACTATCCACAAGGTCTGAATCACCTTCATTCAGTTGGGAGTGATATTGGAACAGTCTTTGCAGTTCTTCATCACCATTAGATCCATTAGGAGAAACTAATTTTTCCATGCCATTCCGTTAACTAACTCCGAATTATTGCAAAATATCTGAGAATATTTACGTATGGGGTTAATTGATCTCACCTTCAGTACACAATCCCTTATCTTAGGCACACAAAATATGTGAAAAAGGAAAGAGGCAATCTTAGAACTGGTGATATTCCCTAGGGGAGAGATTTATCGTTCATACATTCTATGGTAGATTTAAACACTCGCAGAACTTCGGACGTATAGCACAGTTTCTCTTCTGCAAAAAGCAAACACTATACAATCATCTCGCATCCATCCCTTACAATCAACTAAGTAAGGCATTATTTACAATAATTTATTCCTTTAAGCTGAAAGGTATAATGTCTATATGTTTAAAACCCAACCACAGTAACGCGCATTGCATAATACACGCAATGATTACGCACACGCAAACCTACCAGTCACAAAGCATGTAAGTGCACTACAAGTTCTCAGCCTCACCACAAGTAGGGTCTGCCGTTATCCATTGCCTTCTTGCTTGACAGCCTGTAAATGGCCGTAGTTCATTTGGTCGGCAGACGCATTCACAAAACATTTATTGGAGAAATACAAACACTTGGTAACTATTAGTTGTGCTACACCCACTGAAAGCCGAAGGAATGAGGCGATGATCGTATAAATAGAACAAGATACTGTGTTTCACCGGCCCTAATTCAAGGGGAATTATCAAAGGGTTGAAATACTTACAATATCGTTTAGAAAATAACAAGTTCCATAACAACGCATTGCATTGATGCGTGTGAGACATGGCGGTTGAGACTGGGAGATATGAAGAGGCTAGCGGTGTTTGACCGTAGGTGTATTCTGGCTTCCGTCTGGGAAGCTGTAGGTTTAGTACGTGATGGATACGTATTCATGTGCATATATATATATATGTTTATCCGGCTATTCACTGTAATTGGTTTAGGCCTGAAATTTCCAAAAAAGGAATTTTGGGATATATTTGGGGTGGTTATTAGGTTTTCGAAGTTATATTTTTCCTCGGTATTTGGTTTTCCTAAATTGTGTGAGGTGAATTTGATTCGTTTCAGGTTTTTATGTGTTATGGTTATTTGTGATGAAGTAGTCTGTGGCTTCAGAGAAATTTGAGTGAAAATTACTGGATATCTAATAATAATAATAATAATAATAATAATAATAATAATAATAACAATAACATTCATAATTACTATTTATTGTGAACAGAAACGAAAACGGTATTTACATTAGGATCAGCAAACTTAATAACAGGCAGAACAAATCCTTTATAAGCACTAAGCAACTCAAGCAGTATCTTTTGGTTTGATTGGTAATAATCATATCGATAAAACAGCATAAAAGTGTTTTGTGGAACAAATGAACCATTGTTAATTGTATCATCGACCGACGTAACCAATGAAGCAGATGGTCCAGTTATCCACTGCCATTCAACTGAAGCATTTTTCGGTAGACCAGATACAATGATCCATACAATGCATTTATTACAGTCACACATGCTACTGATATGTTTACTGTCTGAAATCACAGAACAAACGCTGAGATGGAAATGCTTTCGAGCTTGTATCAGAGAATCTTCATCAACGGCATAACAAATTCCAATAAATAAATTCGTCCATATTTTAGAGGGTGACATACACTGAAAGTAAAAAACAGCAATAATAAAATATTAGGGCGCATACCGTGTTGGCTTTACAGTGATTATGAAAGCGAAATACTGGATGCTGAAAGTAAAATGTAACTTATCTTTTGATGCTACGTACGCCGATAACTGTGGGCTTTGATTTCGTCACTAATTAGTCTAGAATTAAGCACATTCGTTGTCGCTCCCTCACATCGACAAGGTTAACTTAAGCCGGATTAAATTGGGAAAACAAACTTTTAATCACTAAACGGTGATATATGTATAAGACTTTTTAATTTATTACATTTCAGTTCATCTTTTTACCTAGTGAAATATCTATCCCAAATAGCTACACAGCTTTTATCAGAACAGTCTTCTCTCTTAATAAAAAGTTGAAACATTTACCTGAATATTAGTGACTTCGCCTTACCTTCATTATTCGATGACAGTGTCTTATAGCAAGCCAAGATTCTGTTTCTAGTGCTTCAGTAATCCTTGAAAAATGCCCAGTTTGTGATGGAAGTACTTCGAGTTCTGGAATTAAACCAATCTGGCCTGAATAGAAGGTAAATTGTTCCAAACCACAAGAAGAAGTACAATTTTCAGAATGAGAACATAAAGTAGGAACACCTATTGCTTGACTGTATGGTCCAATATTAGCTGGGGCCCAATGTGAAATCGATTGAACGTACAAACCTCGAAGGGAGTTTATCCACTCATACATATCCGATTTACCATGACAGATAATAGCTGACAGACTGATTCTACATCCTTCCCTTGAATGTACATTGATTTCCTGTGAAAACTGGAGAAAATATAAACAATAAACAAGAGAATGACAATCGGTTACATTTCTTTTATAATTAACATTCATGTACAACAATATACAACAGCCACACACTTCAATGTAATCCCAAATACCTACTAATTTGCGACCTTATCATGTAGCGAATTGAACTGTCAGTGCCTGTAAAACCACTAAAATTTCATTGAACATTTTGTTTCATTCTAAATCATCTATTAATACTTAAGGTGACTCGAAGACGATGACTCAAGTGTTAATTCTTTTCACCTTAAAAAGTTTCATTTCTTTTTTGAAATTTGGAGAAAAACCTACTTTACAAAAATGTTAGTTTTCGTAACAGTGGCAGATAGCAGTCGAATCAAGAAAGCGCATCCTATAAGATTCGTTCACTGGATATAGCCAAACAATGATCCACAAGTTTTGAATGATGCGTCTCTGATTCAATTTTCAGTAGGCAAGCCATCCTCTACTGTCGCTAAATAGGACCAGATATGTTTTCTGGATTCTGTAGTCAGTCTCTATCAGCCAAATCATCACAATAAAACAAGGTGATATTTCTTCTACAAGCGTATTCGATAGAGATAGAGGATAGAGATAACTTTGTAAGGATAAAAATTTATTCCTTACATGTAACGATATCTAGCAGGAGACTCATAAATATATTGCATGAAAATCCAGTCTATCTCAAGGAAAACATTCATTCAAATTAAAAGCTTAGAGAATACTGGTTTGATCATACGAAATGAAGAAAAAATACAAAACAGTCAATCATGGCGTGTCATTAGCTTTTGAAACATGACTCTACGTCTTCTAGACTTTTGATACTCTTAGTGTCATGAAGACCAACACCAACCACTGAAAGTTAGTCATGCAATCCTCTCCTACTCATTAATAATGAACAAATGTATGTTTGCGAATAGAAACGATACGATAAATACGATCATACAAATATAAAGAAACAAAATATAAAAACAGGAAATTCTCTTTCGCGTGTGCATTTTACTTGCCTTCTTAAATTTCCACAAATCTAACTCAATAATTGAATTTCAATCATTTAAAAGGGACATCTTTAAATCCACTCTAAATAATTCCCCACCAGAATAACAACTTGTTTAGGACAATGTAACCTGAATTCTTCTATCAGTAGTCATATACTTCCCTGGGGTGCACTTATGAAAGCATGCCGACTACCAAAAATCGTCTTAAATTTTCTTTTGTTCATTATAAGATTTTTTTCAATTTAAATTTTACTTTAAGAATGTAAGAGTAGAATTTGGGCACTGTCGTAGAATAGAATTCCACAGCAGACAAGTTTATTTGACAACAGTATCAATAAGTGAATGGCATTTCGAAGACAGTTTATTGCTCCTAACCACATGGATGTATTCACACGACTTGATAACTTGCTTTATTCTGTTCAATTCCCTGTTGTTTTTCACTGCGATTTTCCATATACGTGGTATAGGCGTTGCGTCATTTTTATTTCACGTGTTTGGTGTTGCTTTAATAGACCAAACATTCAGTGATTAATCCACCTCTCTGTCCACCTATCTATATTACTTTTTAATACCCTATCACATCTTACTGTGTGATTACGTGCGGGTGAATCTATTGCAATGACCGAGCTTTTTCCCAGATTATTTGACTTAACAGTCAGTCATTCGAAATGTAGCTAAATTCCAATATTCCGATAATCTAATTAACCCTGATCTACTACTTTGACCTATGCAACTTACTTCACAGTTATTACAGGATACTTCGTGAATTAAACTGTTTTTCCTGGTTGGATTTATCGGACCCTTAAGCCGACAAAGTTTACCTCTGGACTAGTTGGTCAGTTGGAATCCCACCCTAATTCAAGCTTTATTAAGAATCCTCTATAGAGCCTCTGATGTTTGTTCTTTATATGGTCGCACTGCCAAGGTTTTTAACTCTTTATTAGCTATATCATTTTCGCTAAAACTTTTAATCTCTTAAGGATCTTCATATATTCTTGAATACATTTTGGTAGGTAGTAATTCACTGGTAATATCTTCTTTATTTGTTTGATCTCATTATTTAAATCTTATAACTAGGTTAGGCTCTTAGCTATGCTATATCAACCTACCTTTACTAATTCTGAGTAGGATGAATCAAGGATGTGTGGAAAATTGCATTAAAAACAGCACGGAGTAAGACTATACAAAGCAAGTTATTCAGTCGTGTGAATAACACTAATGTAATCGCATCATCCAGATAAATTAGTGTAATATTAGTTTTACTTCATCTAACGCAGACGGTTAAAGATTATCAGTGACAAAGCAAAAATTATAACAAAAGACCCAACTATTTCAGTCATTGAAAACTTACAGCTTCAGCAATTAGGTTGCATTCGTCTTTTATTACTCTATTTCTAAAAACTTCCACAGCACATGAGCTTTCTCTACCATGTGCAGTGAAAAAAACCTTTTTAAAATATTGTGATAAATTCTGTTTAATTATGGTTTATATCTTTGATGGATGAATCTCACAGCTCTAGAGCGGAAGGGACAAACTCAAGCTTTCATACTTATTAAATACTGTATAAGTGATATGGTATTGCTAATCAAATAAGCATTTTGTTTCCATTTGTATTTCGTCAATTATTGACCAAACAGGCATAATACGACGTTACAAGTAAACACGATTGGCTCTTTAGAACATCAAATATGACATTTATACGGGCTAGTTCTGAGGCATCAATCTCCATTCAATATTTAAGAATTACACTGTTATTCGATGTGCTCATGTCTTCATACAACAGAACTATGTTTCTCAAATATCTGAAATCAATTTACTTTACTCAACCTAAATCACAAAGTACTAAGAAGTGGAAGAGTATGCAAATACTAGAATGGTATCTGTGTTGAGTTTCCCATATCCAACATTTTATTTTTCTTCAGTGACATTTACAAAGGTACTGTATGGCATAGCATGCAAGTGGATATATTCAAGAATAACTTACAGAATTCATGCTAATACACACACGTGCTGGCAAATACGAAGTGACAGGTTTAGACTTATGGGTGATATGATTCTTCGACTTCTCATCAAACCATTCATTCAACTGGACAGTGTAAGCTTGATTGAACACGCTGAACACATCAGCTGACAGTGGCTGGCTTAAAACAACAATGAATTGTAATATCTGTTGTGGTTCAATTCCACTTGAATCTGAAGAAAAAGAATGGAATGATAAGTCTACGTGAAATGAAACTGCCACTAGTATTAAGCAAAAACCAATAATACATATCAAATATTAAACACTCATGGAACTTTGATTCACACTCCCAGTGTAGGTGAAGGAGAAATATACCACTTATCTGTTCGAAAAGGTTAGATGAAGACTAAACTACTGGCTTAATAAAGCAACGTTCATGAATGAAGTCAACAGCACAATTTGTTCGCGATACTACTCGAAATTATAAACGATGAAGTATACAAATATCCAAAACAATAAAATGCTAACTAATACAACAATAAATAGGGATCCGATTATTTACAGAAATTTTTCACGAACGAAAATCAGTTAGAGAATCATTCAAAACCATGGAACACCAAACAAACGTTTCATAATCTTCAGCAGTGTATTCAGTTCCGCAGTGTACTACTCTACGCCCAAACGATTACCACGTAGTCACAGGATGAGAATCTGAGATGGTTCATGAATTTGAAAATCTGTTTAGTGTGTAATACCGTGGTGAGAGCTGGCTGGTAGACAGTAATTTACGTCAATGTTTATGTCCCAAATATTGGCCGTGAGAAATATAAGAACAAAGACTTTGCGTTAGCGGATGCACTTAGCATATTTTTATTTTTATTACAGCCTGATTCCACACTGTATTTTTGGTACTAGTATGGAATTTTCAACATGGATAACGGTAGCCCAAACTTTGCAGGTCGACCATAGATAGCAGGTGTGCGTCGGCAGGGGATCAAACCTCGAACCATGTGCATGGTCGGCGGGAGTCTTAACCACTGTGCCACCGATGCATATAGATGATCTGACATCCAAAAAAAACAGACACAAAGAGATGACAGATTAACTTTCAGTGAGAAACAACCAATCAGAAGACAGTGTTTTTCTGCTAACAATAATCTACGATAATGTACATGAAAATCTATAAATATGTGTTGATTTCCTTAATAAACGATCTGTTGCCTGGCCATTGTCTTCTGTTGTTACAATACAAACGCCATCCAGTTTTACACTTCATCTACGTGGACCTTAGCCTAGTCTAATTTACTAGTTCGCTAATTTTCTAGCCGGTTCCAAGGAGAGGAAAAGATGGAGCATTGCATCATATTTCTGCTTACTGTCTCTATTTAGCATTTCCTTTTAATTTTCTTCTCTTGCTATATGTACTACTTGGAGTGTGGCGACTTGAACTGCTGAACATCGGTGCAAAGTTCTATGTTGAAACCAGTCAGTCAGTCATTCAAAAAATCAATCAGATGCTGGTAACTTTATTCCAGAAAATGCATTACGTAGTGCGAGGTGTAATTCAGAACGGGATAACTAAGTGAAGAGATTAGAAAAGGGATAGAAATCGAATTTTTATTTTATTTTTACTTTTGATTACAGCTTGATTCCACACTGTATTTTTGGTACTAGTATGGAATTTTCAGCATATCGGTAACCCAAATTTTGCAGGCCGAGCATAGATATCAGGTGTGCGTCGGCAGGGGATCAAACCTCGAACCATGTGCATGGTCGGCGAGAGTCCTAACCACTGTGCCACCGACGCACAATGACACAATCTGTGAAAAATAACCAATCAGTATAAATGAATAAAAGCTAGTAGGAAGACGATGAAGTGTTTATATAAAATCTGTATGAAAGCTTGACAAACAAACATAGAAATAAGTCCAGTTCTTTTACTATCGCATGGTCCTTGGAATTCTTCACTTATTTTTCACGCATTGCGTCATTTCGATTTCCGTCCCTTTTTCTAATCTCTCCACTTAGTCACCACCTTCTGAATAACACCTCACATTGTTTAACACATTTGCATCAGGAATTCTTAAATTTGGAAAACATCCATAAGCGTTGTTAGACATTCCCGATATAAAATGAGCGTCACACACAGCATCGATACCAATACTTTCGAAATTGACAACCAAATGACATTTTGTGGTCAGTGTAACCCGATCAGAAAGTATCAGGTAAGAGGACTCCATTTTCGGTTCTTGTTTCAGTAACGATCTTTAACTAACTGATGGATAAGATTTCCAATAACTGGGAATAATCAGAAAGTCGAGATAGTTACTTACCAATAAGCAAGTCAATCTCAACCCGCTAACTTACCGAACATATTTTTCATTTGATGGAAAGCATTTTCGGTAGCTTCATCAATCTTATCTGATTTCTCACTTGTACCAATAAAATTTGACGTCAGCCATATTTCACTACCTAAACATCTGGCGAAATCATTCAGTGACTTTAGATTAACTTCATTACATTTCTGAGTATTATCATCACTAGTAATAGATAGAGAACCGCTTGTGTTAAGTTGCGTACAAATAATATCATTTCTAATTTCTTCACATGTTTTCAACTGTATTTCCTTGAGTCTATCAAGCGGAGAGATAAATGGACGACGAGCTGATGTATGGTTGTTACCTTGGTTGTTAATACATTTACCTTCTAAAGATAAAAGTTGTTCTGAAGTATAATAAACTTCGTCTGAAGGTTTAGCCTAAGATGATTAAACAAAACAATGGATGAGAGAGAAGAATACAAAGAATAAGAATGTCTTAAAAATAACTCGTCCATAAAATGATTTAAAAAAGGTGGGAAAGTAACTGGCTGACTGACTCAAGTAGTTGGCTTTCAGTTGAGTGAGTGTCAGGTCCGAAACCCATTCCATCTACTTCGTCATCAACCTCCACACGTTAATTGTGTCTCATAGAGTGAAATATGAATGATAGATTGATATAAGTAGAAAACTTGGGCATTGTGGTTTGTAACTGCTTGTAGTGCTACACACAACCACACAATAGGATCGGATAGGATGACAATTTTAAAATCTAATGTAACAGGATGGAGGGAGAGATTGATAACAGAAGCTTTGTTTATCGAATCAACTGCAAATACATGTAATAGGAATGATTCAACACCTGTCCCAGAGATATGGAAAATTCTACTGCCCATACAACAAATAGGAGAAGACAGAGAAAACTATAAAAATTAAGTTTCGAAGCTGTCTGATTATAATTGATATGATTATGAACAATAAATTTTGTTCGAAACATTGTCATCCAGTAAATAATACTGTTTCATTGTGTGATATATCTAATAAACAAACTAATATGGAACAACAACTATATTGCTAAATTTTTCGGTACTTTATTAAAAATGACAACATGTATTAAAGTGAAGGTATAGATGACGATCTAATTGAAAAGTAAACATTTCTTCGCTCAACCAATTTGTCTTCTAAATGTTTGAGTGCGGATTTTTTCCTACATTACAAACAAACATCATTTAACAAAATTACGTTGGGCACATAATTACTGCAACAAATTTTAATTTCAGAGTTTGCCTTCTAGCCATCAGAATTCACCTGAGGAAGTCGAACCTATGCATTCAGAAGAAATTTATACAATCACTTCGCTTACATTCGTCCTGCCCTCCGTCCCCCTCCTCCTCATTTACAAGGTGTTACTATTTTAACTATTTTATTGTTTCGCTCTCTGGTAGTTGCATTAATTTTCTTCTTAATTTACCTGATATTCAATTCAGTATTATATCTATGCATATTGTCAAATATGGATACTTTAGAACACTAATCTCAACAATTATTCTTTAACTACCATGGATATACAATTCTAGAATCAGATGAGGAAGTTATAAAAAGGACTTATTAGAACTAAAAAAGCTAACTAACCTCTAGTATCAAATTTTTTAAACGGAGATATGCAGTAGGTGAAAATGGATCTTTAGAATGTATCACTAATTCAGGCTCAGATGCCAAACTAATTCTACTGCGAAACATAGGACAGTCTAACGTAGTTGTCTCGAATTCTCCACCTTCTCCACACACGTTCAAAGACCAAGGAGGAACTGATAGTTTAAAAAGCTTCGTTGCGACATCGTTTAGACGAAAACCAAGGAAGTCGTCAATTGTTAGTCCAAAAGAGGCTATCTATAAGATAAGTCAGAATAAACTAATTACACTAATAAAAGCTCCAGCAAATATACCACATAAGCTCTCAAATGATGCAAATATATAGGTTATAGGCAAGTGCATACAAAAATAGTCCTGGTTTAGGGCTTCTGCTTCTAAAAGTTACCACTCACCCAGACAACCACAAAATACCTTAGTTGAACTTCACACCCTGCTTTGATGCCACAGTATGATTGCCCAAAGAGTTACCAAGCAGATGCTCTTTTGGAGATCTGGGCACTCCCATTGTTTAATTGCAATAGTTGAGAACATTCGATGCAATTGCTGCAAAAATTAGTGAGACATTCTCAGAGATTAAACCAACAATCAAGAACCAATACCATCCAACTCAGACTTAATGTAAAAGAGCGTATGCAGAAACAGATGCGATGGATTTCACTTTTATAAACTCTACAATTATACAGAAAACGAATCGGAAATTGGATGACCTAGCCAAGAAAAGTGGTAACATGTGGGTTATTCGGACTTGGAGAACAGTCACTTTTCTAATTTCGATAGGACCAAAGAAGGTGTTCTGACCTACAACTTAGGCTTTTCAATGTTTATCATTTATCCATCCCAATCAATGTGTACATACTTCCAGAATCTCGAATATCTGGTTCACTAATTAGTTATCTCGTTATTTTTTGCTCACATTTCATTTCTCTAATCTTTAAACGGCTAACATGTTGAAACAGTCAGTATTCTTATACGAATTATACGTTCAGTCGACTCATATTTTACTTATGCGCACTCTAAGACGTCTTAACGTGAAGGCCTGGACAGTAGAGTGCTTTCATAAACTTTACCTGGATGGTCATATTGAAATCTACGTCTCACACTTCACAAGTGGATCAACATTGTGCCCACTATACGCACTCTATGTTGGTGAACATCATGTCTGCTTTCCTTATTCACCTAAACTTCACAATCATATTACCATGTTATTACTTTCACACTCAGCAATAGAGAGCACAAAGAATAAAATAGACTATCGGCACACAAATATACGAAATACATATGTGCCATATTGTGCGTCAGTGCTACAGCGGTAGAATGCTCGCCAACCACGTATGAGGCCCTGGGTTCGACCCCCGGCCGATGCACTCCTTCACCTCCCTAAGCCAGTAATAACACTGGTAAAGAGGGAAAGTTGGGCATGAAGCTAACAACCCCATCCCCTAAAAATAACCACCACTGCTACCAAAACTTTAATCCTGTATCTTGAAGCCGTACGTTCCACTGCGAACGTACAGGAATAAATAATAATACTGGCGATTACTGTGAAAAAACGGGATTATCGAAATTCGGCACTGGGCAATGAGCCACTCCAAGTGTATTAAGGTTAGAGAGCCTAACTAGTCTACGATTTCTTTCAGTTAGACAATGTTATAACTTGTTTATGTTAAGAATGATTGCTTTAGGGCTAATCAATTGGTGTGTCTAAGAACAGATAGAGCTCGGGATGAGAAAATCATGAAAACAAACCATCGTCACCTAGATGACTTTCAATGTAGATATACTCATAAACGGAACAAACTACCACCAAAAATTCGGCAGGCAAACACATTGGATCCCCTCTCCATGAGTATTCATGGACAAAGCAAAATACACCATGAAAGCTGAAGAATTAAAAGATGAATAAAATACCAACACCTCACAACAAATCCCATCCAAATATTAGACAACCGCAACCAAAGAATCCTAAACAACCCCGCCAATACAGATCAGATCACAAAAGAAGATAAATGGCGAACGAGATCTAATGGACTAGTTCTATCCAGATTCCACGGCAGACCCAAAATACACAAACCAAACATCCCATTACGACCAATGTTATCACTCCCAGGAACCCCAATATACAATTTATCCAAAGAAATATACAAAAAATTGAAACATTTAACGAAATCCTGCGACCACTCCATCAAATCTGTAACCGAATTTCTAGAGGAAAAAGGCATTCAAATGGATGACCAAGAAATAATGGAATCCTTCGATGCTACATTATATACTTCGGTTGGACAGAAACCAGAGGAAGAAACCATGGAGCAGTTACTCAGCAACGATGAACACATATCACAACACTCAAGTTGGATGGAATGCATAGACCTGTATCTAAACACGTATTCTCAATTCAACTGACTAATACGTGAACAAATTAAAGGGACACCCATGAGATCGTCCATATCAGGTCTGATTGAAGAAGTTGTGATGTAAAGACTTGAAAACATAGTCCTACGGAAGACCGAACCCGAAACCTAGATACCTTACGTAAATGACACATTTGTAGTAATCAAGAGAAACGACTTAGACAGAAGTAACACCTTGATAAACAACATATTCGACGACATCCAAGTCACGAGAGAAGAAGAGTTCAAGGGAGAAATTCCGTTTTCGGACGTCTTAGTCAAGCGAACAACCACGGGAAAGTCAAAAATTCAAGTTTGTAGGAAATCAAGTCGCACAGACCAAATACTGAACTACAAAAACAACAATCCCATAACACACAAAATGAGTTGCATCAAAACAGTATCCGAGAGGGCCAGAACTCATTGCAGCACTCCCACCTCAAGGAAAATTGAAGAAACATATGTCACGGACGTCTTCCAAAAGAATGGATATCTACGGAATTTCATGAAAAGACATCTACCCCCAACCCAAAGAAAACACAGGAAATCACCCTACCATGTATAAAAGATATTTCGGAAAACACTCCACTCAGCTCTATGTCAACCAAAAGACTCAATAGAGAAAGAAGATAAAACTACCATATACCAAATGAGTTGCAACGAATGAGAAAAATACTGCATACGTTAAATTAGACGTCCCCTTCGTCTTCGTATTCATGGACATAAAGTAGTCATCAACAGATATGACATCCACTCCCTCATATCGGTGCTTACAGACAACCACGGATACCAATTCGATTGGGACAACTTACGTTCAGATATTAGACAGAAGAAACACCAAGAATGCTAGAGAATTTTTAGAGGCCTGGTATTCCAGTGAATCGTCAATCAATAGACAGTGACACAGATACAATTTACCAATCGACAAGAAGGAAATCTCACATAAACGGTCAAACCTTAGGTCAAGAAAATAATCAATACCAATACAACTAGATTAGAGGGTGTGAAAACACAAAAACAACCGATCACGTTCAAGGTTACCAACAGAGATGGCTAGTAAACTCGTGGAGAAATCTAAAACCTCACCTCAAATTGAAGTATACGCTGAGTATGTTGCCTAGTAAGGCAATCAAAGCTTCGTAAGTAAACCATTCAGCTCAGAGAACATAACTACACCAAAATATGATGGGTGTATCGCTGACTAGATAATAATGCCAGTGAGAACTTTTGATAAACTTATGATAGTTTTGATGAAAAATATTTTAGACAACAGATCGTATCTAATTTGTACTCAATGTAAAAATCTAAAATTGAAGGCACTTCAGAAGACCGATAATATCTATTGAGTCATGAATTAAACTTATTAATCAACGAAATCATCTTCAAGCTGTAAGTCGTATTCATATTACAGAAAAAGTTATTAAGTGGCACTAAATAATTGCTCAGTCAATATACATATATGTGACAAGAATAACGATAATTAAAATGTTATGTTAAAAGGGGTAGAGCTGAAGTGGATGGAATACAAAATTATTAAAGATTGTTTTATAAGTGAATTGATACCAAAAATATTTTTAAAAGAAAAATGTCAAGCGTTGTCTAAAATTTTTTTAAAATTAGGAGTACGATTACGATAACAATAAAGATGTGAAGTGAAGTGGAATGAATTCAAGTGGTAAAATAAAATAAAAACTAGAAAGAACACTACTATGATCAAGGTAAAGAAAGGGGTTTAACAAAACGTTTTTGAACAGATAATTTAGGTTTCTTTTCATGTATAGCTAAAGCTTCGGCTATGCATAAGTGAAGAAAACGTAAACTTTTGGATCGATTCGATTTTGCCATATAGATAACTTTGAAAGATGAATCACGTGGGGCTAAATGACCAGACTCTAACAGGTGATCACAAATAGACGTCCGTCTTTCATTAACCAAACTGGATAGTGTTTAGCTACATGTTTTCAGAGATTACGCTTACAACGTCCAATATAAACAGCTCCACAGGAGCAGGTAAAAGAGTAAATGCACATAGATGTGGACAAAAGTGGTAATCTATCCTTGACGCATTGTCTAATCATATTTCGGCTGGTAAAAATTAGATGCAAGTCAGCTGCAGGAAAAGTACGTTTAATACATTTAGACAAACGATTTTTAATTAATTCCGAAATGGTGTCACCTTTGAATGCTAGACTCATAAAGTTATTTTTCTTTGGCACTGTGATTTGTCTAGGGGCGGAATCTTTGTTGATGTTACGTTCAATGAACCTTGTAAGATAACCATTGTTAAGGAGATTTGATTGAAGGTTATCTAGTTCCCTATCGATTGTCTCTGCAGAGCAGATTTTACGAATTTTGGAGCATAAGGCATGAATAAGATTTCTCTTTCTCCCTAAAGGTACCCAACTGTTGAAGTTAGTGTACTGCCCTGTGAATGCTGGCTTTCGGTAAATCGACCTTAACAACGTGCCATTCTCTCTTCTATCTAGCTGAACGTCAAGGAAGTGAAACGAGGAATTCGACTCCTCTTCGATTGTGAAACGCAAAGATGGGTGAGAGACATTAAATATTCCAAGCAGTTCGGCAGTTGAACAGTTTTCCTTACAGACAATGAAGGTATCATCTATATATCTTTTATACATAAACAAACTCTCGATGGTTTCCTTTAGTGGGCCGTTCTCTAGGCTTGCCATGAAGACATCCGCTAAGAGCGGTCCTAAAGGAGACCCCATGGCGACTCCATCTCTGATTGTAGATGACTTCATTAAATCTAGATTGCACATTCAGTGTGCATCCTTAAGATATTCAGTTGGCAAGCCAATGTTCATGCTATTTAAATCAATATACTCACATAGATAGCAGATAGTGTCTACTAGTGGTATATTTGTGAACAATGAACAAACATCTAACGAAATCATATGCTTACCAGTAAGATTAATTTCTTCAACGCAACTGACAAAGTCAAAAGTGTCAGAAAGACTATGTTTACAAGGATTTAATCTAACCGGTTACAGAATCTTTGTAAACATAATCTTTCTGACACTTTTGACTTTGTCAGCTGCGATATCTATTGAATGGTAGAAAGGGTGGCAATTACGCAATTACTCGGAAGCTGTTGCTGAAGGTGCACTATTTACGTGATCGCCAGCGACACGAGAAAGCTTTTGGAATGTGATAAGATGAAAACTGTTATTCGATAAAAAGCAAGGTAGTTGTGTCCAGTTGACAACTGTAAAGCGGGTCCGGGAAAAGAAACCTAGTAAAATGCACAAGATGAATATTACAAGAGGGGCCATTCTTAATTAATTACTACGACTGGGAACAAACGATTAGGCAAGAGCTTCAGACAACAGTTAAATAAGTGATTAAACCAACCTTTTCTGCAGAACTCAGGGTTATGTTGACGAATCGCCAATGCCTCCGCCATACACAACTTCCGAAAAGCAATTAAGTGCTTTATTTCACAACACCACTAATGTTACGGTGTGGGATTTCCAGCATTACCCCTTACACCATTCAGTCACACCTCACACATAATTATAAAACACAACTCTTGCAAGACTTCCCCAGTTGCTGGAGAACTTTTATATTTCCATACTTATGTAATGATAATACCTGACGGAGAAACCTTCAATAGTTGATGTGAGGTGTCAACACTATTGGAATTCATGGGCCTAACCAAATACGTTACAGCTCTACAGTCAATATGTACACGCATAAGCAACCATGAATAGTCACTACATAGCATATTTAGCAACTTTTCCGTCTAAATATCAGTTAGGTAAACCTTTCATTTTATTCGACTACAAGTTCCCTCAGGATGACAAATGGGATTTGACACAAATAAACACAGATTATGGAAACACAAAAAGCGTATAAAAATTAAGACTACCTTGATTATTATAGCTTCAATGTGGGCAGAAATCATATCCTCCAGTAGTTCTT